TAGATAGATAGATAGATAGATAGATAGATAGATAGATAGATAGATAGATAGATACATACATACATACATACATACATATATACATACACACACACATACATACATACATACATACATACATACATACATACATACATAGATCCAAAACATTCTATAGTTGAGATCACAGAATGCTTAGAGCAATTTGGATCTTAGCAAGCTCTTATCAGTCTCGGAGACAGCAGACTCCATTGGTGGAAGATGACCTTAGTTACAATATCAGCCTTGACTTGAAATGATTCAGACCCAAAGGGGCTCTTTTTAAAGTGACAGTGACAAGTGTGGGAAGGAAAGGGCCTCATCCCATGAGTCCGACCCAGAGAGAGAGAACTTGAGTGTGCAAGCCACCCTCGCCCCACGCACACACAGCCTCCTTCGCCTCCTCTCTCCCATCTTCGCTGCTCAGCTGAGAAGGCAGCCAGTAGAGGCAGCGTGAGCGTCGACTGGACCTGACCACATACAGCCCCAGCTGACTCTTTTGCCGAACCTCCAAGTAACCCCCTAACGCTCATTTCCTTATAGATGTAAAATGCAGCTGAGATCCCTTTTCAGCTTTGAAGGAAAAGGCACAGCCTTGTGTCTTTTGAGGAGACTTTAAAAGTCGTCTGGCACTTGTTTCTCAAGCAGATGACAGCCTGGCAAAGCAAGGGGTGACAGGACGTGTGGGTTCCCACCTTTCCCTGGCCGCCCCTCTGCACCTGGGGGATGATTTCATTCACACAGCGTCCCTCACGAGGTCAGCAGCCCTTGCTTGTGTGTGCCAATGACAACTATAGTGGTGTGTGCCTGGGGATGCTCGGCGAGACGGCCCTTCATCCCGTGCTAGGAAACCGCCATGTTCCCCCGCACTGGGGCGCCACTATGCTCACTGCCGGGGGGGGGGGGGGGGAGCGTCACCTTACAGGTGCTCAGCCTAGGGAGGGACAGCTCCTGGCCGTCTCAGCCCGTGGCAGGCCCTAGCGTTTCTGTCACGAGGATCATCATGTTTCCCAGGATGCCACCAACCGGTGTGTGCCAAGGGGAGTGACAGAGCAGGGCTCCCAGCCAGGGGTCGGGAGAGGGCTGGGCTGGGACAGCCCATTGGTTCTGCCTATTGGTCTCTGCATCTGGTGACATGCTGCGTGGGGGAGGAGTTGCTGACCTTAAGGATGACTTTCGCTCGCTTTGGCCACCTATGATTCACGTAGACGCCGAAGGCCACGGGAATAATCAGGGACACGAGGGTAATCCCTGAAAAGAAACAAAAGCCATCAGACAATGTCCCCTCTCCTCCCCCCTCCCCCCCGACGACTCATTCCTTCCCAGCAACTTTCATTCCCAGTCAGTTAACAGCCTCGAAGGACGATTTGAAGGGTGTTTGCTGTTAACCGATGCCCTCACACCTGGGCTACCATTTCTCTCAGAAACCTCCAATCACGGGAATTTTAGAGACAGCAGAGAGATGATCATTAGGAGTGAAGATGGCCCCGCTAAGTCTATGAAATGTCTAGCCAGTGAGGGCGCCCAGAAAAACGTGCTGTGTGGCCACTGTGAGTCATGGTGGGAGACACACTGTGAGCTCAATAAACTTCGCCTCTTCAGAGAGAACGGGCCTTGGGTGGTTCACCACGCCAGCAAAAGCTAGCCCCGAGACACAACGCCTGAGTGAGTGGTCAGCTCTACGCTCCATGGTCTTCACCTGGCTGCTCAACCCCTCCGAGCCAGAAAGTGTACGGAGTAGGACCAGAAGCAGAAGGTGATAGGGCTGGTTCAGGTGATGCGGAAAAGCACATGCAGGGGCTTGTCCTTAACTGCCATCTGCCCCATCGCCATGGCCGGTTCTACTCAATTGCACGAGCCCCGTACCGACCTATGCTCTGATAGGGAATGGTGAGATTCTGTGCGAGTGTCCAGGTCCGGGTGTAGAGGTAGAGGCAGAGGGGCATCATTCCCAGGGCGGCCACGGTGGAGCAGGTTGTCATGCTGATGCTGAAAAGGAAAGAGAAGGACTTAGGAGGGACGAGAGACGGACAACCTGGTCCTTGCTGTGGCGACCTAGTCGTGGGCCAAATGTGAGGGCACAGCCCTTTATCCCAGCACTCAGGAGGCAGAGGCAGGAGGGTCTCTGGAAGAATGAGGCTAGCCCGGTCTACATGCTGAGTTCCAGGCCAGTCAATGCCACACAGTGAGACCCTGTCTCAAAAAACAAACAGACAAAACAGTAAAGAGCTGTTGGTCTTTGATGGTGTTGAAGCTTCTCGTCCTTGTCAAGATGTCCTCCATTCTGGGGCGTCTAGACATCACCTCTATATTTCACTACTTTATGGCTTGATAGTCTATGTTTATAATTTCAACTCATTTAAGTTTATATTTTAGATGGTATAGGACATAAAACTATTTTGATTTGAAAGGCAAGTGCATGCATACACTTTTCTCACTAAACTGAAGCGGCTCCTTTATTCCGTATTAATTAAATGCCCAAATTTATTCAATTTATTTTCGGACAACTCATTGGTATGTAATTTTGGCTTTTCCTAATCAAATACCAGACTGTTTTAATTAAATTGTGTCCTTAAAAAAAATAGGCTTAATATTTCCACATACATTTTCCTTTTCAAACTTTTTCTTCTAAAAAAAGAAAAAATCCTGCATATCTTTCACTCCATATAAGACCTAAAAACATTTTATCATTTTCTGAGTAGGCTCTGGGGTCATCCAACACCAGAAGCAAAACACAAAAAGCGATGTCTTCCTGCTAAGCTAGAGAAAGACCAGCCTTTTGCCACACTCTCTGTTTCCATAGAGACGGTTCTTAAGAAACTTTCCCGAATACTTGACCAATGCTGTATGCCTTGGCTCTCCATTTACCGAGTCCGGGAAGGAATTCCACACGGCATCACTGTAATCTTGAAGTGTGGGGTGCGGAATGCTGCACCCCGCCCCTGCACTGTGTCAGCCCCAAAAACAAAAGGTGAGATTCCTCACTGTAAAGAGCCAAGGTCGGTGTCTCACCGGTTGTGAAAGCCTGCTCCCCGAGGTTGTTGTCCCCAAGCTCCATGGGATCACCCGATCCCATTGTCCATTTAATTTGATGCTTGCAGAGGGCGAGAGAGGACCTGGGGCTCTGCCAACTGCTGTAAGCACCAGCCAAGCCGGAGAGAAGCCTCGCCTTCCCGTGCCTGCCAAGAAATTCCAGTGTGGCGTGAACAGAGGATGTGGCGAGCTGCGTCCCTCCACCGTCCACACGGTGGGAACCGCCGGCGTTCTCTGACTTCAATAGAACAAGAATCCACTCGCACAGGAAAGAATGACACCATCCGCAGCTATTGCAGAGAATGGGACAGGTCCAGCCAGACTGGGCAAACAGGCAGATCCTGAACTCCCTCCCCGAGAGGACAGTCAGCCACACATTCCACCACCAGGTGGTGGGTAACATCCTGCAATGGGGCTGAAGTTATTCAAAGGCTAATTTCCAGCCTGTGCAAGTAGGAACTCCAACTCTCGAAACCGTTCCTGCATAAAAGAAGCCACGGTCTGGTTAGCCGAATGGACACCAGTGTGCCACATCTGTGGAAACCATCGGAGGAGCCGTCACAGCCTGATTCTCCACACCCACACAGAGGTGCTCCCCTGTGCCGCCTCCCATCGGGATGGCGAACATTTATGCAGTGCTGCTTGCTGGGTGCCCCAAACTGTCATGTATTTTTTCGCTTCTCATTTTTACAATAACCTTGCAATGTTCTTTCTACCCCGAGAGCAAAGACATTACAGTGTCATTTGAATCTGGAATGACCCTCCACTGGACTATGTTCTGAACATTCTGTCCCCAGCTTGCGCCACTAAGTTAAATGCTGTGGAGCCTCTGGGAGAGGAGGTCTGGGCTGGGATGTACCTCAGTCAGCAGAGTGTCCACCTAGCATTCGAGAAGCCCTGGGTTTGATCCCCAGCACTGGGTGAAAACAGGCGTGGTTTCACGTGCCTGGAATCTCTACATTTGGGAGGTAGAGAAGGGAAGGTCAGAAGTTCAAGGTCATATTTGATTACATAGCGAGTTCTAGACCAGCCTGGGCTACAAGATCCTGTCTGAGAAAAGAAGGCAGACAGAGATAGCCCCCTAGGGGAGGCCTCTGAAAATCTTACACCCATGTCAGGTTCCTACCCATCTGTACAGCCTCTGCCCCATGCCCTCATGTTCCTGCTGCCATGCCTTCCCTGCAATGAAGGGCTGAAATCTCTGACACTGCGAGCTACAACCAAGTTTTTCTCCTTTAAGTTGCTTCTGTCGGGTATTTTGTCATAGCCTTAAAAAAAAAAAAAAAAAAAAAAGTAACTAGCATAGGTTCAATCTCAGCTCTCTCTCTCCAAAATCCTGAAGTGCCGAAGGCTGAGTCAGATCTGAAGAATCGTGAGCGATTTCTCAGGTCTCTCCAGGGGCCAGGAGCTTCCGGGGAGAGGAAAGAACCAGGCATGGCAGCTGCTCTCCTATGGTCACAGAACTCAAAAGGGCAGAGCGGAGGATCGGAAGTTCAAGGTCCTCCTTTGCTGTTTCAAGTTTAATGTCAGCCTTGGCTAGATGAGACCTGTCTCAAAATAAATAAATAGAAAAATGGAAGGAAGCACAAGAAAACTTCAGTGGTCGGAGCTGGCCAGGGAACTACGCAGATACCACCAACGCGTGTTCAGAATCCTTGCTGATGGAATGGCACACGCATACGGCCTCAATGGACACCTCGCCACTGGTACCAGTAGGCGGTGTGAGCTGTCCGGAGCTGCATTAATAAACAGCTTCCATTTCGGGGGTAGGCAACATTTTCACTGTGTCACTCGTGTTTATCGAGGCCCTTGCCTCCACCAGGCTGGCACAGACAAGGCTGGCACGGACCAGGCTGGCACGGAGCACACGTGAACAATTACCCTCAAGAAACTGACACCTCTGGTAAGTGAGGCTATCAAGCAGTACAGTTGCAAGTCCTTCCAACAGGTGACCCAAAAGTTACATATTTGGCATTATGGGACAGAGGCTGGGCAGCCCCATCAGACAGAGTCAGATGCAATATTAAAATCAGGGTAGGGCACTCAGAAAGCAGAAGCACTCAGAGCTTCATGAGTTTGAGGCCAGCCTGGTCTCCATGGTGAGTTTGAGACAGCCAGAGGTATGCACACTCAGACCTTCTCAAAAAGGAAAAGTAGGGCGGGGGAAGCAGGAACTTGGGTATTCAAGTTCCTTTCTCATCTGTTTCCTATGGTGCTTATAGAGCAACCACTCACATCTACCCTTGAGTTCTCCTCCAAGCTGGCACACAGATAACTGTATACCCCCATGCCATGCCCCATTATTTACAGTAGTCCAAAGGTGGCACATGCTAGTAACCCAGTATTCAGGAAGCCAGAGGCAATGGGGATCAGGACAGCCTGATTGCCATACTGAGTTCCAGGCCAGCCAGGGTACGTACCTGTCACAAAACAAGAAACAAACAGGAGAAACCACCCAATGGCTACCGAGGAGTGAACAGGGAAAGTGGGACCCACACGATGGAACAGCACTCGGCATCAGAAATGGAATTCTGAGATAATCTCTGAGGAGGATGAGCCCACATGGCTTAGGTAGCCAGACCCCAAATGACAAATACACGCGAGTCATGTAAGACATCCCGGGGCCAAGCATGAGACACCAGCAGAATGGTATATAACTATGTGAATGTCCATAGTGCCACTTATATTGCTCCAATGGTACATTTTATTGTGTGTGTTTCATAATGATTCAAAGATAAAAGAGAGCTGGGCAGTGGTAGCACACGCCTTTAATCCCAGCACTCGGGAGGCAGAGACAGGTGGGTCTTTGTGAGTCTGAGGCCATCCTGGTCTAGAAAGTGAGTTCCTGGACAGCCAGGGCTACACAGAGAAACCCTGTCTTGAGATAAAAGAGAACTCCAGAGTCCTCCATCAAAATGGGAGCGGAGAGCCAGGCCTGGTGGTCCATGGCTGTGATAATAGCATTTGGGAGGGAGAAGCAGGAAGATTACGAAAGCAAAGACATCTTTAGCTGTAAATTGAGTCTGAGGTCAGCCTGGGCTACATGAGATTCTACCTCACAACAAAACAACGCACATGTAGGCACAGAGGTGCAGTGAGATCAGCCGCTCCCAGGTGCTCAGCAACTTGAGCAGACGCGGCACCCTATTGCCTGCCTTGTAGATGAAAGATCAGTTGGTGGATTGTGCCAGGCAAGAGTCAAAGCTACACTTACACACACACACACACATGCGCATATGCACATAAAAAGCAAAAGTGAAGACATTGCAGCAGAGATACTTTTCATAGCCTGCCCAAGCATCTCTGCCAGTCGGTGCTGTATCCTGCTGCCATGCAGTGGGCACTACATTGCCGTTTGCCCCCTCCAAGGCAGGAATCTGTTCATCGAAAGGAGAGCATACTGCAGAAAGTGTTGCCAGGGCCTCATCCGTTTTCTCTGCAACACAACTTTCTAGTCCAGCCCGTGGAGGGGCGAATCAGCCCCACTGTTTACAGAGATACAGACAGACAGACTGACTACTGACTGACAGAGACAAAGAGATTAGACATATGCACACACACATACACACAGAGCACCTGTAGACAATAACCAAGTCGTCTTCCAGCTGAAGCCATCCAAGGTCAGTTCGCATCCAACTAGCCTCCCAATACCACCACCACCGAAAAGGGTCCAGCAAAGAACAGCTTGGCTGCTCAGTAGGGCCCTGATACATGATGTCTAAGCTTTTTGTATCTATCAGTCCATTTCTTTCCAGAATGATTAAGGAGATTCATACCATGACTGGAGCAGACAGATCTACCCAGCTAACAGTGAAGGGTATTTGAAGAGCATGGGCAAGTAGTGAGAAAACCAGGGTGTGTTTAGTGAACAGTGAATAATTCATTTTGGCTGGAGGCCACTTGCATCTAAGGAATTCATGGGAAATAAACCTGGAGACCTGGAGAAGCTGATGAATTCAGTAAGCACTACGAAACTGTGTACCTATGACACAGTCCTCGGCTGGAAGGATTATAATTTCTGATTATGGGGATGGAAGCCAGACTCTCTGCTCCTCCTCTTTCCAGGGTCAGCCACATTTCACGTCATGCCAGTCTCAACAGAGACTGGGTAAAGGTCAGAGGGAACTGACTTGGCCGTACTTAGCTCCCGGTCACCAGGACTGTCTTAAACCTGACAAATGGATATTGTTGCCATCAGTGACCCCTTCATTGACCTCGACCCCAGGGTCTACACATTTCCATATGAGTCCACACACAGCAAGGTCAATGGCACAGTCAAGGCTGGGAGCAGGAACTCTGTCATCCATGGGAAAACCATCTCCATCTTCCAGCATCAAATGGAGCGATGCTGGTACTGAACATGTTGTGGAGTCCCCTGGTGTCTTCATCACCATGGAGAAGATCACCTCCCCCCAAAGGAGGGAGCCAAAAGGGTCTTCATCTCTGCCCTGTCGGCTTACATTCCCATGTTTGTGATGAAACTCAAGGTCATGAGCAGGGCTACCTGTTCCATCAGATGGGCAGGTCCCCTTGGTCAAAGTCATCCATGCCAACTTCGGCATCACCCTCAACAGCCATTTTGTCAAACTCGTTTACTGGTATGACAAGGAATCTGGCAACAGCAACTGTGTGGTACACCTCACGGTCCTCATGGCCTCCAAGCAGTAAGAAGCCCTGGGCAACCCGATGCCAGCGAACACGTGAACAGAAGAGAAAGTCCTCAGCCCAACTCAGCCTCCAGTACAGCAGGCATCTCCCCTCACAGTTTCCATCCCAGAATCCCAGAAAAATGGCAGAGGCTTAGGAAGCCCTACTTTCTCAAACGCCAAACACTATCAATAAAGTTCACTGTAAACATTTTTAAAAAGCCTACAGTTAGAGTCTGCTTTATTTATCTACTAGGAACTGATAACAGAGAGACTGTATGTGGAGAGAACACTGGTGAAGTTACAAGTACTGGCCATGACAAGGTTCACTAGGGCCTAACTTGAGGAAACAACCGAGGAGGTTAAGAGGAAGCCAGAACAGTGAAAGTTCAGCAAGAGGATGGGGCCTTAGTGGGCTGAGGGAACGGAGGGAGGAAGGAGGGGAGAGCAGGCCGAGAGAACAAAGACTATGGTGAGGAGGCCAGGGGCCTAGGAGGGCACCTGGCATTGCCATGCTCGGCGTGTAGACACCTGCTCAAGTCTGGAACACCCGCTTAAGAAGGACACACGAAAAACCACACGAACAAAGCACAGTGAAAGCCACAAAACTACACTAGGGATCATCTCTAGGAGCTTTGCCCCGGCTTCCCCATTTGCAAAACAAAGATGTAAGATTAAGCACACTTAGATTTCCTCCAGCACTGTGGACAGAATGACTGTCCACGACTGGCCACTGAGCTTTACACAGCTTTACAGCTTTTGTTGATTATTGTGAAGCAATGTGCTGGATACGGCTTCTGAGATTAAAGCATTAATTAGCCTGTTATCCATAAGCTTTTAAAATCCAGCTTTTAGGGGCTGGAGAGATGGCTTGGAGGTTAAGAGCACTGCCTGCTCTTCCAGAGGTCCTGAGTTCAATTCCAGCGACCACATGGTGGCTCACAACCATCTAGGATGATCTATGGTGCCCTCTTCTGGCAGGCCTACATGTAGGCACAATACCATATAAGTCTTTTAAAATAAAATAAAATCCAACTTTTAGTACCTACTTTAAAATTTCACCTCTAGAGCCAGGTGGCAGTGGCACAGGCCTTTAATCCAAACCCTCTGGAGGCAGAGGCAGGCGTATCTCTGAGTTCAAGGTCAGTTTGGTCTACAGAATGAGTTCCAGGACAGCCAGGCCTTCACAAGCAAACCCCGTCTCAAAACAAAACAAAACTCAAAAAAAAAAAAAAAAAAAAAAAATTTCATCTCCGTAAAGATTGTTATGAGCTCAGTGCCAGCCTAGGCTACATACTGAGTTTGAGGCTAGCGTGGGCAACACTGAACGACCCTATCTCAAAAATACAAAAAACAAATATTCTTTCACCGCTTACAATTTGTTTCGTACTGTTTGTGTCTGTGAAACTCAAAATCAAAATTTAGAGAAGGGAAAAGCACTGGATGGGGCCGCTCGGGGGTGGAGTGCTTGCCAAGGAGAGGGGGGAGCAGCCACCTTTGCTGCATGCCTACTGTGTGTCTGGCTCTGCGTCACACGTGCATGGGTGTTTGTATTCTCAGACAAGGGACTCTGAGCGACATTTAAGCTCTGGGGCTAAGGGCTGGCTCAATGGTGAGAGCACTGGCTGTTCTTCCAGAAGTCCCAGCTTCCATCCCTAGCACCCATGTGGTGGCTCACAGCCATCTCTAACTCCAGTTCCAGGGGATTTGATAACCTTTTGTAGCCTCATCTACAACCAGGTATGCACGCGGTACAGAGACATACGCACAAGTGAACAGCCACACACGTTATAAAAAAAAAGGAAGATGGAAAAGAGTTCACGTATTGTAAGTTTAAAAGCTGATTAAGCCAGTTGTGATGGTCGCATGCCTCGAATCCCCAGCACTCTAGAAACAGGGCTATCTCTGAGTTCAAGGCCAGCCTAGTCTGCAAAGTGAGTTCAAGGACAGCCAGGGTTACACAGAGAAACCCTGTCACAAAACAAAACAAACCCAGAAAAGAAAACAACAACAAAAAAGCTGTTTGAGGAGTCGATGCCAGTCCTGGTGGTGTGAGCCTGTAATCCCAGCACCCGGGAACCCACTGGGGAGTCAAGAGGATTAGTACCTCAAAGCAACCCTGGGCCGTGCTAGACCTTGTCCCAATACAACAAAAGCAAAATCTATAAAGTGATAGGGCTGCCTATAAGCAACAACATGGACTTCCTCTTCCACACGTGCTGTTTGTGGGCATTTCTGTGACGATGCTGATGAATCAGGGGTGTTGGTAATAGATAGCCTCTTTCCCAGAACAGAAGTGTTTCAAAACACATCCAAAGGCCTCTGCTCATAGTCCGGATGATGCAGTTGCCAAGTGTCATGGGAAAAGTTCCCCAAGTTACAAACTGATGTAAACCAGATGTGAATTCCGCTGTGAGCCCTGATCTGCTTTTTTGGGCTCCTTCACCAGCCTGACTCATTCTCTCAGAATACTGAAAATACAGGCAATTATGAGAACCCAGGAGAGAAGGCGAAGCCGAGACGTACATCGTGCCTATGAACAGTACTATCCCTTCTTTCCCGAAACCCTCAGGACCCGGATCTCACTGCTGACAGAGGAGCGATAACGGGCACTCACTCCACTGAAGTTCCAGTCGTGACATATGAGTGCAGACCCAAAACTACCAAGAACGACCTCGAGTCTCAGACGTCAGCGACGAAAAGGCACACCGCGTGCACACCGCTGTGAACCCGTGTGTGGTGAGAGCTGTCCGATACACTAAATGTTCTCAGCATGTGCGAGAGAACTAGAAGCCAAACCTGAGGCTGACTCGCTGGCGTCAGCTCCCACGTTTTAGTCATCGGTGCTGACTCACTGATTCATTCATTCATTCATTCATCATGGAGTAAACCTCAAATGCAAAGATTTACATTTATAGGGAGCGTTTTCTCTGGGCAGGATGTAAAAATGCATTTATAAGCAAAAAAAAAAAAAAAAAAAAAAACTAGAAAACTCGTTGTTTTTAACCCTCCATTTCCTCCCAATACTGACTCATCTATGCTTTCTTCAAATATGCCATTTCCCACCAAAACATTTGACCCCAAAATTACGTGGTACATTCACCTTTATTAAGGTGTCAATAAATAATAAAGCTTAATTTCTGCAGGAGTATTCATCTACCCCATAAATAGGAATAAGCTCTAGTTTAAACCTCAGGGAGGCAAAGGCAAGCGGACAGTTCATCATCCTGGGAGCTCCACAGTGCTCCCTAATTCAAGCCAGCCATGCCTGTCAGATGCCGTGAAGGCCTTCGTGAAGTCGCTCTGTTTCACAAGAAGGATCTCCCGGAGACACCTGCTGAGAGCGATGTGGGCACAAAGAGACAAAAAGAAAAGGAAAAGAGCCACGTGGGCTTCAATCTGATCTGAACCTGTCTCTCGCAACCACCAGCCTTCAATCTGATCTGACCCTGTCTCTCTCGACCACCACTATTGCCATCACTAGCTGTGTGGGAGTTTTGGTGATGTCCTGGGAAATTGTTGCTGCCCTCAAACTAGGTGCCACGACTCAGGATAGAGAAGGCTCCCAAGAAAGCAGAAGCTAATGGCAGCAGAGAGAGTCTGGTGCCCAGAAAGACTCTGTGATCCTTGTATTACTTCCCACCCAGGGCTACCCAGAGATTGCAAGATTGTTTTGTTTTGTTTGTTTTTAAAGCACAGATGTGACCCTGACTCCCAGACAGAGAAACCCCGCAGCGCTTCCCTGCTGTGACTTACCTGAGATCCATATCTCCATCAACCCAGAAGGTGAGGATGTTGGAGACGGTGCCCCCGGGGCAGCACCCCAGGATGAGGACAGCGATAACTTGGATGGGTTTCAGCCTGAAGCCGACGGCCAGCAGGTAGGCCGTGAGGGGCATGAGGCCAAACTGGCAGAGCAATCCCACCGCGATGCCCCAGGGTCTCCTGAGGTGTAGCCAGAGCTTCTGGATCTCCGCAGAACATCCGAAAGAGAACATGACCAGGCCCACCATCACTGCCGACGCCACGGTGAAGACAAGCTTCAGGTTGTCATGGCCCTCCGATCCCACGGGCCGCTCTTCCTCCATGCTGCAGGCAGGGCAGGTGGAGTTGCTGCGCTGTCCGCGCTCGGCTCAGACAGCGGCCTCGCAAGGAGCAGAGGAGCAGGTCCGTCCAGACACGTTTCCTAACGCTGCAACTGAGGCACACGTGGCGAATCCGAGCGGCTGCTGTTGGCCGAGCGCGTCCCTCACCCCAGTCTGACCAAGTGACATGGGAAGGGCAGTGCGCTCAGGCTGGGAACGCAGCAAGGTGCCAGCAAGCAATGCTTTCCGTTCTCTCCTCCCTACGCCGAGTGTTCAAGCACCCGGAATGAGGCAAACATCCCGTCAAGGGTTAGGACTGGCCCGTGCTGACAACATCACATCGTGTTCTCGGGAAGCAGGCCAGATGCCAAGGCGGCAGTTTCTCCAAATCCAGCAGGGCTCTCAAACAGCCGGGATGCAATGCTGTGCAGTCTGAACGACTAAGCCAGGGGGAAAACAAAGACAGCTGTGTCGGAGCCCCGCCCCACGACGTTTCATGAGGCATTTCAGATGTGAGAGTGAAGCGAGGCCAGCCTGGAAAATGTCGTAGAGGATCGAGATCATTTCAGGGGACTCTCAATTGGCCTTTTCTTCTCCTTCTTCTGTTATTTCTCTGAGGAACTGTGTCTGAAGCTGATGATTAAACACCTGCCAAAATAAAATGACATTAAGCACTTGCTGGTGTCTCATAAAACATGTGGAAACTCGTTTCTCTCCCAACATAATTCAAGGCAGCTCTCGTTTTCCTCTGGAGACTTAAGTCTGCTTTGAGACACACGCCCTGGAAGTTGTGCAAATGCACTCCCCGGAGAGCTTGGTGCCAGGGCCAGCTCTGCTGCAGTGCACGGAGGCTCTCTGTCCACACTGACCAGGTCTGAGGGGCAATGAGACGAGGACACTGTGGTTCTTCGAAACAAAATTCCAAAGCCATCGACGGCCACCCTCTTTCTTCCCACCGACAGCAGGGTCTTTTTGTAGTGTACAGAGAGAGCCGGAACAAGACAAGCTTTGTCAACCCCTCCCCTCCCTTAAGAGAGAGGCTCATTGTGCGTGGCTTGTTCTTGAGTTATCAAATGTGTCCCGTGACAAAACCAAGGCGTGCTGGTTAAGTGTGTACACAGGGGAAACACAGGTGAAAATCAAGGCAGGCTACAGTACACACCCTGACAGCAGCTCTGCCGGCCCCACCTCAACCCACCACACACAAGAGAAAAAATTCTACCACCGGGGAGGCAGAGACAGGAGAAGCCCTTGAGCTCAGTGGCCAGCTGCTCTGGCCAAATTGGTGAGCACCTTGGTGAGAGACCTTGTCTCAAAAATAAGGCAGAGAGAGCAAATGAGGGCGATGTCCAATGTTGACCTCTGGCTTCCGTGTGCATGCAAGCACAGCTGCAAACACACACACACACACACATGAAAAAGAAAGAAAATTCTATAAGCTCAAAAAGGGCTCAGGTAATGGTCCAGTGTGGAAACCTTTAATTCCGAACTCTGGAGGCAAAGGCAGGCAGATCACTGTGAGTTAGAGGCCGGCCTGTTCTCTCATCAAGCTGCTATGGCCGGCAAGAATTATATAGAGAGACCCGTCTCCCACCCAAGAACAAAGCAGAGGTAAGCCTCCAAGAGAGAGAGAAATTTCAAAATTGGCAGTCACAGAAAAGGCAGGCTGTATAGATGTGACACAGGTAAAAGGGCTATTTCAAGAGCTTTTTAACAGCTAAACTTCAGAAACAGAAAGTTACTATCTCACAGGAAAGTGACAAAATACTAGGAAAAAACCCAAACAAACAAATAAACATCAACACCAGGCCTAGGGGTCTATCCCAGTGGCACAGGCTTCCCTAATCTGACAGCCTTAGGGTTTTGTTTTGTTTTTTTTTTTTTTTTCCCCAGCACTGAAAAATAAGACGAGGTGAACATTGCCTGCTTGTAGGTATTGAGGGAAGCAAGAACAGTCTCCTGATTTCACACATCAGGCTGAAACTCCACACAGTATTTCTGGGAGAAAAACACGAAGCGATAGGCTTACAGTGACTATGGGCCTAAGAAGTTGCCTGGTAAATAAGTTGAAGTATTGGCAAAGGCAGGCTTGTGCTCTGGTGCAGACACTTACCCTCAGCTGTGCTGTGTCTAAGAAATGTGCTCTTAACTCTAACGACGTTGTGTTTATAAAGCAGAAACCTAGAATCCAATGTCCAAACAGAGACTAAGTAAATTATGGCACAACTAATGGTGAAATATTGCGGGCTATTTAGGAGGTAAACATTTTCACAAGGAAAAACTTTATGATAGTTATGGGAAAAAATTCAAGATCAAATGGCATGAAGAGAATGTTCCCAACTATCTTAAAACAATAAACAGAAGACGGGCTGGAGGCCTAGCTCAGTGATAGAGGACAGGGTTAGCCTGTTAAAGGCCCTGGTTCAAAAACCAGGCCCTTTAAAAGGCCTCCTCAGAAAACATACACATGTATGCACAACATACACACACATTATGGTTTTGGTTACAGTATTGGGTTCTTTTTCCTACCTCCCTACACCAACCCCTATCCCCTGGGATTAAAGGCCCACACCTTTAATCCCAGCACTCCCGAGGCACATGGATCTCTGAGTTTGAGACCAGCCTGGTCTACATAGTGAGTTCCAGGCAAGCTTGATGACTTGAGTTCAACTCCATATAAGTAAATTAAAATAACTAAAACTCTGTAAGTTCTACCCCCTCCCCCCCAGTACGAGGGAGGAGAGAAGGAAGGATAAAGGGGAAAGGGGACAGAGATCTCTTCAGACTACTTCCTGATGATTAGGGGTGTCAAGTTCTAAACAACTGTTGAGAATTTATAGTTACAGTCTAAGTAACATACAAACTGGTAAACTGAGGCCAGAAAAGAAAGCTGGGAAGAGGAATGCTGTAGCCTGTGTGGGCAGCAGATGCAGGCTGCGTTACTCAAGGGCTTTCTCTACCCCTCTGGCTGTTTTAAGTTGTTAAACAGCTGCTTAGAATTTAGCAAGTCTAATCCTAGTCATCAGCAACCAGCAAAAGTAGCAGCAGGGACTTCTTCCGAGCACCCCTGGCCTCTCTCAGGGCGCTGGCATTTCTACCCTCTCAAGAGTTCCAAGAATTCCAAACATAAACTACCCTCACCTGGTAAAATCACGCCCCTGCCAGAGCATGAGACAGACTACATCACTGTAGACAATCGGAAGCAACCAGATTCCCCACACCTGGGGTTGAAACAAAAACATTCACAACATTTTTGTGTTTAGAAAGAAACCAAAATTCACACATACACTCACACACACATAGTTTATTATCATTGTTTTTAAATGAACAGAAAGAAAGGTCATGGTGATTACTTCTACCTGAACGATTTCTTTTATTCTTCTTTGCATTTTTTTACAGCACTTGTCATCTTTGAAAGAACTGTTGATCGTTGTTTTATAACCAAGAGGAAAAGAGAGTTGAAATGAGGATGCAGAGGCTGACTCCAGTAGCTCCCTAAAGAATGACAACTGAATAACCTAAGGTCACGGAGAACCAGACTGTCACTATGTCAGTCGCAATTTCCATCTGTGTTCTTAACTTTGCAGGGACAACAAATAACAAAAGCTCCCAGGTAGCAGCACCTGCAGAAACGGAAGGCCAGCCAGGTCTGGAGGGCACTGACCTGCCCATCACAGTCAGCAGAGGTGGAAAATGGAATTTCGAGGTGTGTCACCTGGACAGCACCCGACCCACCTTTGGAGCAAAATAATGCAGCCTGCGTCTGCTGGCCGCACAGACGAGCACTTCTATTCCTCTTCCCAGCTTTTTTTTCTGGCCTCAGTTTACCAGATTATACATTACTTAGACTGTAACTACAAATTCTCAACAGTTGTTTAGATGCTGGAATTATCACATGTTGTCATAAAAGAAATGTATCAGGTTTGATGGCATGATGTCAAATTTTAACACAGATGTTCTGTGAGAACAGCCACAGTTACTGAGTGTCCCTGTGCCTGGGGCCTTGTCCTGGGCACTGCACATTTCTCGCTCTGTCCTCCCAGCGGCCATGTCAAGGAGATGCCATAGTGACTCCTGTTTACCCTGAGTGAAATGGCCACCGAGCAGATTAAACAGCCTGCCCTGCAGGGCTAGTGAATAAGGCAAGATCTGGAAGCCAGTTCCAAGTTTAGAGTCTGAAAATAAATAAAAACACACAGGGCCTGAGGGCCGAACCTTCAATCCCTGCACTCCCAAGGAAGCTGCATCTCTGAGTCTGAGACCAGCCTGGTCTACACAGTGAGTTCCAGGACAGCCTGATGGCTTGAGTCCAACTCCATAGACATATATTAAAATAAACAAAACTCCACGGGTTCTTTAAAAAATAAGACAGAAGATGAGTTTGCATTAAATGCCATGTCCTATCATTATTTACCTTAACCTTTGACTCCTGTGACATACAAGTACTAAATGCAGGCATGTAATAAATAAACGAATAAACATCCTGAAAGAATATACGGGAAAAGATAGCATCCTAACTTGTTCTCTACTTTGAAGCAATTATTTGGTTCAAACACTCATGCACCTAAGAGCAAAGACTACCTCCTAGCATTCACTATGGGTTCTGAATGCTTCCCAGCAGCCTTGCTAAAATATACAAGCAATCTGGGCATGCTCGCTGACACCTATAATCTCTGCACTCAGGAGGCTGAGGCAGGAGGATTGCCATGATTTCCAGGCCACTGTAAGCTACAGAAGAGGACCCTGTCTCAAAACATACCAATAAGCAAAATAGGAGAGACTGATCCAGCGACCAGTGCCGACAACAAAATCTGTTCACCCTTTCTTTCTACACCTTCCTCTTTTCAGCTTCCAATAGAGATTGGCTTGTTTTATAGGTGATTTTTTTTTTTTTTTAGTGTTTGAGAGTCTCACATATTTAAATAATAAATGCACGTTAGTTATTTTTCTTCCCTACATTCCCCTCTGCTGCCGAAGCCCTGCTTGAGTCCCCCTCCTTCTTTCGTGTGTCCTTTCTGTGTGTGATCCACTGAGGACGAGACACAGGTGAAAGTGTCCCTCCTATCACCTCAGCGAAGGCCAAAGCCAAGGGCTGCAGAGCGGTGTGGATGCTGAGGTCAAGCACCAGAGGCTGATGCCACCGTGAAGGCCAGCCAGTGTGTCCTTGGGTTACAGATGGGCACCGACAAATGCTCCGGCCAGTCTGCTATGAAGGCCCATGGCCCCAGGCAACATCTTTATGACCCCAAGGACCACATCTTGCCATCCATGAACCACTGCACCATCAGCTTCAAGACGGGAGCCAACAAGTGTGCGAACCAGGTGGGCATGACAGCATCAAACATGCCCTTAGGGACACATCTATGACACCAAGGCTGTCACCAACCGGCTCATTACCTCTTCC